TTGTACCTACGTTACATGCATGTACATGTACGTGCTTAGTGCCACATGGCTATACACGTGTAGGACGGACAGTGATGAACGGGCAGACATGGTACTGGCTACAGATGACATATTTGGACTGCTCAGGGGTTAATTAGAACCTGCTTTCATCAACCCTGGGGGGCGGTCGGGTAGCCTAGTGGTTAAAGCGTTCGCTCGTCACGCCGAAGACCCGGGTTCGATTCCCGACATGGGTACAATGTGTGTAGCCCATTTCTGGTGTCCCCCGCCGTGATATTGCTGGAATATTGCTAATAGCGGCGTAAAACCATACTCATCCATCATCAACCCTGGACAAGCATGTATTTCAGTTCTACCATGGGTTTCCACGCTGGTGAAACCATTGGGTATGGATATGGTCCTACACACGAAGGATTCGAACCCCTGGGTCATTGGATCCTGATGCTGCAAAGGGACGCTACTCCGCAGCGTGAATTTCGGTACCTTATTTCAGTGGACCACATGTTCAAACTATGGTTTAGAATGATTCGAATGATTAAACAAAAGTTTGAAGGCCGCCTCCGTGGCCCAGTGGGTAGAGCGGTAGCTACGGGTATGGTCAGACTGTGGGTACGTGTGGTCAGTATGTTATTTGATGTCTCATACCAAACCTTCTTACCTTAAACAACTACATGACAGAATCTCAATCCGGAACTTAGAGTGAGTGAGTATGGTTTTACGCCGCTTTGATCAATATTCCAGCAATATCACGGCAGGGGACACCAGAAAATGGGCTTCACACATTGCACCCATGTTGGGAATCGAACCCGATTCGGCATGACAAGCGAAGGCTTTAACCACTAGGCTACCCCACCGCACCCGGAACTTAGGAGCATCTGCCCGGAGAGCCGAAGGTCGGTGGTTCGATCCTCTGCCGCGTCATACCAAAAGACGTTTAAAGATGGCACTTGTTATTACCCTGCCTGGCGCTCGGCATTAAGTGAATAAAACAAGGACCGGTCGGCTACAGTCTCAGTAGGGTATCCATTTTAAACTGCGGCATGGTATATCAGTGGGCTAGCACTATAAACCTCAGGTAAATTAAGTATGTTGCCTGTGGCTTCGGTGACAATTTAAAGCCAATACAAAGCATATTCAAAAGAAGTGATATTTCCAGATCCGCAATTCAATGTATATCTAATACACGAGAATGCTATTGTCACACAGGTGTATTAATGTTATGAGTTAATCTTCCGATCTTCATCCTAACGCTATTCATCTGTTCGATATTAACGCTTAATCTCAAGTTGAGTAACATGCCAAAACTGACTCACAATATATAAATAGTCATGATACACAATACAAGAATATTTGTCTCCATTTGATATGCCACCCGAACCTCGTAATGCAGATCTACCCGGCTCGGGTAGCCTTATATGTCTTATGTTAGCGCCGATTCCCTTCTATGGCGCGTAACCTAGATACGAATCTAGGTCACTGAATCACTCATAACAGTAGCACTTGTACATTTCACTATTGACAACACCGACATGCGTCAGGGTATCCGCTTGTCTGAGTGACAAGGTTCCCGTTAACTTTTAAGACGCAGATAATAAAAAAGAAAGAAATAGCTGCATAATCGACTGTCATGGGACATCGTTAAGAATGATCAAAATATTATTACTATCATTTTTAATCTTGTAATTATGCTTAGTATTGTTATTACTGGTAGTAGTTGGGGTGTAATTAGAAAAACGATAGTAGTCTGTCTCACAGTCCCTGAACCATATTATTTTCCCATCCGTCCAGCCCTTACTTTAATGCTCTGGCACTAAATGAAGCAAGTCTAGATTTACCCCGGTTTCCTCCCAATCTCACTGGGGCTCCTTTTAAATTTAAATGTAGTTTGTTTCAATCAACATTATATATTTTCAGAGACTTAGCGTTAGTCTAACAGAAGTAGTGGTATATTAATAAATATACCTAGTGTATAATTATAAGTGTAGTAGAAGACAAAGGAAGCAGTGGTAGGAGAAGCAGTGGTAGTGATGGTAGTAGTGGTAGTAACATCAATAGTGGCAGTTTGTTGTTTGTTTGTTAGTTGTTTGACGCCGTACTAAGCAATATTCCAGCTATATGACGGCTGTCTGTAAATAATCGAGTCTGAACCAGACAATCCTGTGATTGACATCTTGAGCATCGATCCACGTAATTGGGATACGATGACATGCTTCAACCAAGTCAGCGAGCCTGACCACCCGATCCTGTTAGTCGCCCCTCAAGACAAGCATAGTCGCCTCTTACGGCAAGCATGGGTTGCTGACGACCTATTCTACCCCCGGACCTTCTCGGGTCCAAAATTGGCAGTGGTAGTTTACACACGTTTAACACACATGTCATTTCATTTATTTAACTAAATATAATAATAAACAAGGAATAAATGAGAAGTAATTGCCTCCGACAATGACTTGCACACGTCTCCAAGGCAATAATTATCAGTTTAAATAATAAATTCTAGATTATGTAAATAATAACAAGTTGTCCCTATATGAGACTGGAGTCCTTAGTGTACTGTCTAGACTTATTAGGGATACATTTACTACGCATCCATGGACTTTTCTTTCAGTACAGCCTTGGAGCAAGGCTAGCTACATCTAAGCATGTAGGGTGTTGTGTTGAGAGACGATAGTGTGTGGTCTGCCTCTCACCACCCTGAATAATACAGAAGAAGAAGAAGAAGAAGAAGAAGAAGAAGAAGAAGAAGAAGAAGACAATTATTGTATTTATGTGTCACACACTGTACAACAATGAGAATACAAATACACAAATAGTGTTTACAGTGTCCGGCCATTATGGCCTACGAGACACGCAGGACGTTACATACATATACATAAAAATGAGTTATCACCAGTTATCAGAACATTCTGATACTAAGGTACATTGAACTAAGTTGGTAGAGACGAAAGACACAGTTGTCTTCGCTAATACACGTGAGATGAACGTGGCGTGTAATCCACTGTTGTCACTACATTTCAGTGTCGTCTACTCCGAATGTGACAGGTGTGATTTAATCATCACGGAATCCGTTAATTATCTCTATGTTAATTGCGCTGTCACCGCCCGCGTGAATCTTTAATGACAGTTGTTAATTAGAGTCGATGCTAATCAATCAGTGTTATTTAGTCAGATTGAGAGGTGTGTGTCACTTGACGAAAGGCGGCAGGTAATTCATAGTTTGTCATGCACTTACAAGTTAACATCCGTGACATCATCTTTACAGCTGATTGGCAATCAATAATGTCAACAACAATAATTTACTTTGTATCAACTAGGGTTCGATGCGGGTTGGAATAGGTCTTCAGCAACCCATGCTTGTCATCAGAAGCGGCCATGCCTGTCGAAAGAGGCGACTAACGGGATCGGGTGGTCAGACTCGCTGAATTGGTTGATGCATGTCATCGTATCCCAATCGGATCGATGCTCATGGTGTTAATCACTGGATTGTCAGGTCCAGACTCGATTATTTCCAGACCGCCGTCATATAGCTGGAATATTGCTGAGTGCGGCGTTAAACAACAAACAGAAACATTGTACTTTAGCGACATTTCGTTACACACTGTTAACAAACAAGTTTTTATGAAGATCATTAATTTAGCAGTTTAGTGTAAAAAATGAAGGACAGAACCAACCCGTGATCGTGCCGGCATTATTTGGACCGTGTGCCACTTTACCTCTCAGACATGACACGTAAATATACAGATTTACAGACAAACACCAGATATCTGACTAACAACACAGACAACCAACACGCTAACGTCTTAATCACTTTCACATTCATTAATCTGCAACGGCGTCACTAATTTCAAAATAAAGACAGTGCCGTCTATATAATTTTTATTTTTGCCTAGCTTTATCTCAATATGAAAAAACTATGGTAGCTGGTACTTTCCCAAAGCCTTCAGCTTGTTCGTTTGTCAATGGTGTAAATTGTAAACTCAGTTCATACATTTGCTATTGTTTTCTGTCATAACCAATCACCTTCCTCCAAAATGAAATGGATATATCATGCATTTCATAATTATCTATTACTATATATCCCCTGTGCTTCCATTGTAAATGTTTTTTCAACATACACTGACGGACAAAAGAAAGTCTACAATTAAAAAATGGATTTGACCAAAAAATTACAAACGTTATTAAAACCGTTACTAGGCTGAATACAGTCACCGAAACACTGCAGACTTAAGGTCCAAAACACAACTATGATATCTGTATGTATCAAATACATCACTATCGAATACCAGTAACCATTTCTTTTTTGTTTCATTTTTAGTCACCGTCAAACATGGGTGTATACTTTCTATTGCCCAGCAGTTGACTTAAAACCTTTTGGATTACTTTAGGTAATTGTTTATTTATATAGGGTCAGTCATGAAAAATGATCCACGCCGTCTTGACGTCATGAGCACCCAATCCACATAGAAGTCAATTGTTATTAAGAAGCATAGAACCCTGGACCTCTGAACAGAACACTCCTAAAAAGATCCATCACAAAAAAACGACACACGACAATGCATAACTTTAATGGCCCGAGAAATATACGAAATTTGAAACATGGTGAATGTACAAAATAAGTCGTTTTTTGTTTGGAAGACAGTTTCTCAACTGAAAAAAATAATATGGCGGTTTATGGAGCTATTTACATGTAATAAATTACACAATGACTGAACTCGTGTTTGTACGCTCACAGGGAATATTCGTCACATACAAATCAAGAAATGACTGATTCCCCAACACTAATTGGCAGTAATACCGAAGCACACGCCCCGTCGCCATTTCTAATAACCGGACACTCTCTGATTGGGGTAAAATACAAGTCAGACCCAAACACTGTGAGTAATCCTCAGTCAAAAGCAGAATAATTCACCGGGTGCTAAATATAGAAAAGGAAACACCGAGATCCTCTTACTGTCACGTGACCGCGACGTCACATGGGCTTGTCAAAACCGCTACACAGGCGGCCGACTGAGTCAGTAGATACAAGCTCGGCAGAAGACGCACGAGGCAGAAATATATCGGTGTCTGAGACGTTGCTTACATCATGGTTGTTAATATCGGTGGAGATGTTAAATGTGTCGTTGTCGGCGACGGAGGAGTAGGGAAAACTAGCATGCTCCTCCGGTATATTGATGGACGGTTCCTGGAAGAGTATATACCGACCTGTTTCGATAGCTACGCTGGTGAGTTTTAAATTTATTTATTTTTATCATTGTAATATCGTTTTCAATGTACATGAATACAATTTTCGATTGTTTAATGTAGCTTTGCAGTTGGAATACATAATTTTATCAATTATGATTTTATGAGGAACACAACGTTTCGGAGTATATGCTTACTCCTTCATCAGGTGAATGGAAACCCGTCATCATTCAACTGATGAAGGAGTAATCATATACACCGAAACGATGTGTTCCTCATAATAAAGAAGTTGACATCCATAAATTCTCTTCCTTATGTGTATCAATTCTAAATGCCTTTCAAGGATGATTTTGATGAAAACTTTATCTAAATTAATCTAGACTTTATTAATAGTTCATATCTGATCAGACAAGTGTTGTGACGGCATTTGGTATATATGTAAACATATAAGGTACTTTTTTTAACTGTAGTGTTTGATATAATTTTATTTAAAAAATAGGACCTGAATGGAATTGTTTTTCTTAAAGTATTTGAAACTATTGACGTCAGTTAGTGACAGTCTGTCGCCTGATATTATGTCTCGCCGTTTGTTTACCAAGTAATAAACACATTTCTCTCAGACAATAACTATGGCAACATTTCCATGTCAGTGTGAACTGACAAACAAGCCCATACGTCAATTGATTGTTGTTAATTAGATCAAATAACAACACTCCTCCCTGACAGCTGACTGACAGACAAGTGAGAACTAACATTCAAACGATCACTGTGTTGTTCTAAGCGCGTTGTTGTACATGTTGTTTTAGCTCGTTCGTTATTTGATTCGGTATTTCTGAAAAAATAGGAGTTCCGACTTTCCTCATGCATTCCGCATCTATAAGTTTTGTAAAAATACTAAGTTATTTATCTAACACCTATATTTACCATCAATGTCTGCATTCTTAAATTTGTGAAATAACTGATAACTTCAATCAATCAATTTGTAAGCTCAGATGTGTATACACATGTCATACTACAGGGAACAGAGCCAAATTTATTGTTAAAAATAAGCCTAACAGTGAGACCGATATACACTCCCTGAAATAAGGTATGTATAATATTAATAAAACTTAGTCTATAAAGAAACCCTTAAAATTCTTAAAGCTAAAAAAGGGATTGTTATAGGCTGTTAGAAGGAGGTGAATGTTTTATAACATATGCTCTAGTGTCTGAGACTAGTTTTAACAAAAACAGTATACAAACAAAGAAAACAATATTTAAAAAAAGACAAAATATATGTGTGATAATGTCAAACTTTCATACACAAACTGCATTATTTCACAGTGTTTACGAAGTCAGCGTTGTCCGTTCATGGTCATAACAGATAAGAAGATTACATCCCCAGTGTCTCTCAATCCGCTTATTTCTCGCCTGTGGTCTCTTAGACTCTTTTTCTGAATAGGGTAATGAAGAAGACAAACGAATCCAGTAGGTGAGCTGTGCGAGGTCGCTGCGGGAATCTTTCCGGCTGTGCTTACTGTGATATTACCGGGACAATGAAGAACGAGTGTTCTAGTTAGTTATGAAAACACGAAGGCGTGCAGGTGTTAAAGCCGCATCCCTCCGAGTATTACCATTTTTAATGGAAACACTTCTCTGTTGCTTGCAAGATCACATAATGGGAAGTTTTGTATGGTAACGTGTGCGAGATAATCCCCCAACACTGGTATTTTCTGAAACTAAAAGCCCAGATTAAGATGAATCTCCTTGCAGGTTCTCTTTAAAATCCATCTTATACTTGACACTGTACTGTGTATCTTTCGAATTTAGTCATTATTTACCCGCGTCAAACTTATGGTATATGAAACGCTTACGTTAAAACCCAGCTTATTGACACGGTACTGTATATTTATCGTATATGATTATACAGTGCAGAGTATCTTATTTATCTTTGTTGCACTACACAGGTGTAAAATTACCTTTACATAATATTCAGTGGTGTGAATGTAGGGTACAAAATGTCTTTTATCCCATAGCCAAGGGTCATATGAGCCACCAGTTCACACAAAAGTACATATACTGTTGTTTAAATCAGGGTTACGGCAAGGTTGCCTTCTACCTCCGACGCTATTTATGCTTAGTGTGTAAAATCGATTATGTCATTTCTCACTGTGTTAATCCAACATGAGTAGCACCGTCACCTTGACTGCTCCCCCCTCCGAAGGCTCTAAGTTAGGTACAAGCAGCGTTCACGCCGACATCCACTCCGGAGCACGTTGCATGACGTAACTTTCCCTCGTACGCTTTGTTTTACATTCATCTTTTCACCCAGCTATTCGTGATACGTGAGAGGTCGCTGTAGGTTCAAGACCACGTAATTGTTTTCATATGCCAGAAGTCTAGGCAGTGACATTGCTTCCCGATTGTCCCCTCGTGGTCAGCGAATGGCCACGCAAGAAAAGCTAACACCCGGGGCGTTGCTGAAAAATGAAGTGCTGGCCCTTGACCTCCGGGCGTAATGTGTGACCTGTTAAGGCGTTTACATGATGTTTCGGAAGAACCAAAAGTTACAGTCATCCCACTTAAGCAAATATAATATTTTATTGTAAGAATGGAGCACTGAATAATCAATAAGATGTTTTGCTTTAAGGAAAATGGTCATTATTAATGTAAAGGTGAATATTGTTGCTTATCAGGCTCTTTTCCTTAAACACATATTAGTTTCATCCGCAGGCCGGTGTATTTATCACCCATGTTACGCGAATCACATCCTGATTCAATTAATCCATTAGCATATTTGATATATACACCCAATGTATGCACTAGGAAACATGGTTGTACAGACATAAGCAATAATATCACCCTGAATAAAAAAATTTAACACTGAATATTTAACATGAACACTTTCAAATACCATAATCAGTCACGTATCAACGAATTTCCGTTACATCCTCAAATTCAAAAAATCTTCTCTGTATCACTGGACCCAATCAAATGAAATTGACACCAATGTGTAAGTTTCACCAGCGGGTCATTTGCGCGTGTGTGTCAATAGCTCTGTTCCAAGTCTGAGACACTTACCACCCTGTGTTGAATAACTAATACAAAGTCCACATTCTTATGTGAGTGACACGACCAAGATTCATAATTTGCATCTACATGTCAATAGCATCAGGAATTCATTTAGACGAAATGAACAAATACTAAAAAATGTACATATGGCAACTGAATACCCAATCGGTTCTAAAGCCATCCTCAGACCATGACGCTTGTGTAATATATATCCTATTAACGACTTTTTTACTTAAAACTCAGACATGGTTAATACAAAACTGGCATTCTTAAAGCGGAACGAAGCGGCGAGACAGCCCGAAATTTCATAGAGATAAAGACGGAGGGCTTAGAATTAGTTTCGCGGAACGCTGGTTTCTTTGTTTGGCGATTAGGGGACCACAAAAGAAAATATGATTATGTTTAATAACCGTTTCCATATCCCCAGACTATAATGCACCTCATGTAGGGAATATGTTTCTGGTATGCGCGTAAGCCTAATTTTCATTGTACGTTATGAACGGAAACCTCTTGCACCAAAATATGTAATATCTTAGCATCTTTCTTATTCGTAACCCGGTCATGCTTTCAAATTCGAATCGGGTATAAGTCGTCACGTGATTTAGCGGAATGTTGTGTCACGTGACTGAGGTATGTCCACTCCTAAGAATGAAAAGATACATTACATATTGTTGTAAAGAGAGGATGTAGCGCTGTTTAACGCTTTGAGTCAGCCGTTGACAACTTTGGGTTTGCACTGAATAATTTGCTTGTTAATTGTAGCCGGGCGGCGTTAAATGATTCCACGTCGGGTTCCGTTCTGATATTGGTACTAATTGGCATTCTTTCTATTTTTCTGTTTTATAAAAGTAATTATTATAAGCATCAGTCCAACAGGCATATCGCGTCCATGGATGACGAATATGGTAAAATATTAGAACTTATTTGTCAAAGAAAAGTAGTTTGCAAGTAAATAATAGGTGTATATAAACAACTTGGAGCTCCAGTAAGTCTATGTGTTGAAAGAAACAGCTTTTATACGAGCTCACCTCTTATCATGTGAATAAAAAATCTGAAAAATAACAATCACCTGTAAGGTAACTTACATACGTTGGTATCTACGATAAAGGATGATGATGAGCACGGACCCAGCTTTTTGACAAACACACCTGTCACACGTCTCTTACCTGTAATCAGGGGTTAGGATGGCGACGGAATGTGTAAACAGGAGTCGGTTACCTGTAATTACAAGTAAACTACATCAATCATATATATGCATGACGTCGTCACAGCTTGAACATGTCTCATGTTGATGTATGCATATACACAGGCCTGCAGGTAATATGGTGTCGTGTTGCAATGTGTGTGCACTGAATAGTTTATATTCAAGCCGTTGTGACTTACGAGATCAGGGGTAGCATTAAATGTATACGCAACGCGAACAGCCATGCTTCACTGCCACATCTGTTGTGAAGGAAAGTGCATGACTCGCTACGAGTACATTCCGTTTTTTTGTGATGGATTATAGTGAGTGCGTGAGTTGGGTTAAACGCCGCTTATAACATTATTCCAGTTATATCACGGCGTGTCAGCTTAATATGGGAGGAAAGCCCGAAGTGATGCAGGTCTCAGACGTTTACCACTTCGGTGAAACAAACGAGGACGGGTATGGTGCTCACAAACCTAGAAACATAATTGGGGCGAAACGGGATTCGAACCGATATGATGATTGTGATGTCGCTTAAGTACGTAATGTATACACCGCCAAACCAGTAATGTATATTTTGTTTGTTTCAGTGTCCCTTGACCTTGGCGACCGCTACTATGACCTCTGCCTTATGGACACAGCTGGACAGGTCAGTAGATTCCAAACAAACACGCCCCCTTCTGTAATATAAATATTAGAGCAAACATACGTTTTCATTGAATTAGTTTTATAAGGGAATACACAGATGGCCACCACGAAGGTCGGTGTTGTCTTGGAATAAGTGAATAATTTTAGCGCCAAGTCGGCGCCTTTGAAATTATTCATGGCAAATGTGTTCAGAATCTGTGCTTAAAAACCATAAATGTGTCAAAATAAAATATTCAAGGCTATAAAACACAGTCGGAAGCGATCCCACAAAGGTAAATAATCGCCGGACCATCTGGTCACGCTTCTGATTAGTCTTACGTCATGCTATGAGGAAATAAAAAGTTTAAAAGATGAATTTGTGTCCTCGGGGCACGGAGACACGTTTTGTGATGTGATAATGATGGTTATAACAAGGTCTCGTTGTAAGACGTTGAATAGCTAAGGTCACTGAGCCTCGTTCCGATATAGCGTGTGTGCTGGTGTCTTAAACAGGGTTGTTAGGTAATAGTTGTTTTTATTGTTTGTGACGTAATAGTCATGCCTGTGACATATTTATCTCATCCGCCTATGGGAAACTCTGCACTGCACACGTCTTTGTCAAACAATAACAAAATATGTATTTTTCAACAAAACATTCACCATTCTTAAAACTATTAGGTTTCCAGAACGGAATATATTTGACCTATTTTTTAGACCAAAAAATTACAAATGTTATCAACACGATTAGGCTGAAAACAGTAACCGAAACACAGCAAACTTAAGGTAAAAAACACAAGGATATCCTTGTGAAATACATCACCATCGAACGACCATTTATTTTTTGTTTAATTTTTAGCCACCGTAAAACATGGATGTATACTTTCTCTGCCGGTCATCTTTTCCGTTTTTCTGTATTTTCGGTTTATAAAACAAGTACATGTACATCATTCTACGGGCAGTATTGTTTCATTGTGCTTCTAACAATTGAGGGGGCGGTCGGGGAGCCTAGTGGTTTAAGCGTTCGCTCGTCACGCCGAAGACCCGGGTTCGATTCCCGACATGGGTACAATGTGTGAAGCCCATTTCTGGTGTCCCCCGCCGTGATATTGCTGGAATATTACTAAAAGCGGCGTAAAATCATACTCACTCACTCACTCTAACAATTGATGAAAGGGATATGTTATGATATGATAACTGTTAATATTAATAACTGGTAGTTTTGAAGACTCATCGAATTCTATTCATCATTTCAGGAAACTTATGACCGCCTGCGCACTTTGTCCTACTTCAACACTGACGTGTTTGTCGTCTGCTTCTCCGTGGCCAGTCAAGACTCATTTACTAACGTCAGGACACGATGGATCCCAGAACTGAAGGAATTCAAACCCGGAACCCGCTTTATCCTTGTCGGTACTCAGGCGGACCTGAGGGAGGATGCGCAGTACCCTGGGGAATGCGTGTCCCTGAGTCAGGCTAAGAAACTAGCAAGAAAGGTTGGTGCTGAAGCCTATGTGGAGTGCTCGTCACTGACTGGGGACGGTTTGAAGAGCGTGTTTCATGGCGCGCTCACCACCGCAGTGTGTCCGAAAAAGAAGAGGAAGTTTTGGAGAAGCTTCAAGCAGCTGTTTAAGAAGAACGAGAAATGAACGAGAGAAGATGAAATCTGCGTCACAAAACATGGCGTCATCCAGGATGTCAGAACTCTTCGTCCATTTTGCGCAGGCGCATATGGACTGGCAGCTCAACCGGAAGTGACCTCGAGCTGTCGAATCTCTGTTTTGCCAAATTTGTTGTTGCACATTGTTGTTGCACGTTGTTCCTGCACACACGTTGTTGTTAAGGATTGGACTCTGGCTCAGGAATATGACAATAATGGACCCAAGAATGACGCGAGTCAGAAATGAGGGAAGGATGTTGGCGCTTGTAATTGTGTGAGAATGGCAATATAGTTGACTCATTTGTGTGATACTCGCTGTCAACAATGACTTCAGGGGCACGTGACAGATATAGAAGTGCAGGACACACCATATCCTTCCGTGACATCAATGACCTATCACGGCGTCCTACAGAGAATTGAAGTACAAAACTCCGAACACTGCTTTAGTAAACTACAGCTCTATGCTCATAAATGGCCTCCATTAAAAATGACACATGACGTCATGAAAGGAAAGACCTAACACGTTTCAACACGAAGAAGAGACATTCTTACTGAACAATGAATTCCAAACTTAAAACTGGAACTGACAAGACACCTGTAAATGAAAATAGTGCCTGTTGAAATAGAATATGCCAACTATCTAAACATTCGTTAAATACGTTACATGCTTGAGCAGATGTGATGTAATTTATACCGCCTTTGTTTGTAGTTTTGATGTGTCTTTAAGTTATTGTTTCTCATCGCCATGTTCCTAGTGCTCGTGTTTGCCATTGAACCACGCCCCATGTATCTACAGTGCAAATCGTGGCCTGATTCACCATCGGCCCCAACTTGATATTCCAATCGCGAATGTAACACGTATTTCTTAATACTTAATCTTAAAATTTTATTTGCTAAATTATGGCTTTGTGCTTGTTTAACATCTGCAGTATTTGAATAAGGTTGACTCTTAGCCACTAATATGGTCGAACCTTACATACCTGTAATTAAGGGCTTGGAGTTAACAACCCCCTTTCACGTAGAGGGTAACCTCGTTTATCCGGACGGTACTGTTCACAGTGAAATCATTCGGATTAACGAGGTTAGTGGTGCTCCTTTGTACATGTGTAGATGTCTACAAAAGTACTTGTCCATAGATCAGGATTTCCGGACTTTAAAGGTCCTACTCTAGTGATCATACACTTCTTATAACCATATACTACTAATGCAATACCTTACAGCCTCGTATGACATACATTAGCATTGTCTTCTAACACATTCCAGAGAGTCAGAGTTATTGGTTGTGTACTGTGGCCGATGTGTTCCCGTGGTGTTGAGAAGTTGGCAACGTTTCATGTTATAGTCTCACGTTGTCTCATCAGGGTACCTAAAGTCTTTCACAAAACGCAAAACCCCATTAATCAGGAGAATGTGGTTGTCATGGAAACATCCCGGATGAACATATTCCGGGATATCAAAATCACTTTTGCGTTAGCCCTTCGTAGGTAACGTTCCCATGTTCCAGACGCGATATAAAATTGGTGGTCGGATTAACCATGTCCGGATTAACGGGGTTTCTTTGTATTTGTTCTAATTGAGTGCTGTAGAAATGTACATGTGATGGACACACGTATGTGTCATTGTGCTGTAATGGATGTACAATAAATTGTTATCGATGATCAGTGGTAGAATTTGTCTTCATTCACGAAATACCCGCCTTCAAGAGAAACCTCGCTCCGAATAATGGGCGAGCGGCGACGACTTCATCACAGCATGAGTGGGTGGATAAGTCGATCTTTGGCCCCAAAACCTTCAAAGAAACGAGAATCTTGCCGAATATCTCCATTGTGGTGGTGACGAGGTCATGAGGTCACGTGGTCACAAGGTCACAATTCTGATGCTGAGAGTAGAACTATGCACGTGTCACTAAGACGCTTCCTAGTCCTTTGAAGATCCGTGTCAGAATAGGTCTTCAGCAACCCATGCTTGCTGTCAAAGGCGACTACGCTTGTCGTAAGAGGGGACTAACGGGATCGGGTGGTCAGATTCGCTGACTTGGTTGATGCATGTCATCGTGTCCCATTTGCGTGGATCGATGCTCGTGATGTGAATCACTGGATTGTCTGGTCCAGACTCGATTATTTACAGACCCCCGTCATATAGCTGGAATATTGCCGAGTGCGGGGTTAAACAAACAAACAAACAAACAAACAAACAAACAATCAATCAAAACAAAATCCTTGTCCTTTCCGAAGTGCACAAAGTCGTGTGTACTTCGCGGATATAACGAGAGGCATTGCTGAAATTAGCATGCAAGAACGCGGCACACGTACAGTTGATTGTGATGAAGTACTTTAAAAATATATCCTCTCCACCAGACTTAACGATGCTCTAAATAATTAAAGTAGGTGGGGAAACCTGGCGGTTACAGTAACGACACGCCGAAGACCAGTGTTCGATTCTCTATTAGGGTGCAATGTGTGAAGATAATTCTTGGCTTCACACTCCGCGACATGTTGCAATATTGCCAATATCGGCTTAAAACCACACTCACTCATTTAATCAATACACAGGGCATGAACAATGGGTCTGGTACTCGACTGTGTGGAATGTTGTGAATGTTTTTAAATACTGGTTTGCCCAGTCCGGACTCGAACTCACTCCCGCTCATAATGTCAGTAGTACATTAACCAGCCCACCACACAAAGACTACAGTGAACTCACTCCCGCTCATAATGTCAGTAGTACATTAACCAGCCCATCACACAAAGACTACAGTGAACTCACTCCCGCTCATAATGTCAGTAGTACATTAACCAGCCCATCACACAAAGACTACAGTGAACTCACTCCCGCTCATAATGTCAGTAGTACATTAACCAGCCCATCACACAAAGACTACAGTGAACTCACTCCCGCTCATAATATCAGTAGTACATTAACCAGCCCACCACACAAAGACTACAGTGAACTCACTCCCGCTCATAATATCAGTAGTACATTAACCAGCCCACCACACAAAGACTACAGTGAACTCACTCCCGCTCATAATGTCACTAGTACATTAACCAGCCCATCACACAAAGACTACGGTATACGCCGGGAATACGTATCCATTGTTTCACGTAAAATCAAATACGAATGAATGAATGAATGAATGAATGAATGAATGAATGAATGAACGAACGAACGAACGAACGAACGAATGAATGAATAGTGATTTAGCTCTAGTCAGCAATATTCTTTCTACAAGGATGCGGCATGTAAATAAATGCATTTGAGTCACGTTACCCGCAAACAAATAAGTTACTCTGCTAACCTCTATATACAAATGTACATAGGCTTGAGTGGATACAGTGCTGTTCTGTTCTGTACGCGCAACGATCATCGCCATCGTGTACAGTGTTCTTCATTTTCTTTCGTAAACTGACTGTGAGTAATGTGTGTACGATAAAACATTCCTAGCGTTTTACAGAATTTTAAAACCCTCTGTAGCTAGGATCGGGTAAGTAAAACCGAGGGCTAAAAACCGACCCTGATACTGAGGTGTTAACATTCCGACCACAACCGAGGAGTGTTTCATCCTTGTTAGTTTGAACATATGAATAGGCTTTCATGAACAGAGACTTGTCATAGTCCATCTTCCCGAGGCAAGGGAGTTAACTTACTATAAAAGTCCATTTTCCACCCTTGCCCACCCAGGCTGGAATTCCGGAGTTACATTTTGTCTGAACTAACGAGTTTGTGCATAGTCCCATCAAAATCGTGTGACGAAATCAACATCATGTTCGCAAAAAACATGGATTTCAACGTGCAGATTTCGGTCGACGGCAGGGTTTACAAAGCAAAGTTTACCACCAACTGGACGTCGACAGATATTTTTCAATTTTGTTCATGTTTTTAATCAAGGTGCTCAAGTGATTTGATGCACTTCGCGAGGTAAGACCCTTTGTATTACAATATAGATCTTGATTATCGATCAGATCGTCTTGACTGGGCGCCGCCATTTTGTTTGAAGAAAATGCAAGTGATATGAGAGGTGGAATCTGATTGGTCAATCGGAGGGACATAGAAGGGTCATAACTCGTAAAAGCCACTGGTGGCGCTACGATCGAGCCTGGAAATACTTAACTAGTTCGGCAAGGGTGGAAACTGGACTTTTTATGTTAGGTAACTCCCATGCCTCGGGAAGATGGTCATAGTCCACTTTATAAAGCTTTTTAAAGGGAGAAATAAAAATTATTTATGTACTGTTATGTAGCAGTGCGTGGAGTCATCCCACACATGACATCCTTACCTTGTCAGCTTGCTAACGGGGTTAACCTCTTTGGTCATGTGGACAAGGCGTCCGACCTCGGATCAGAAGGTCCGTGGTTCGAATCTCATCACGGGACTCGGTTCGAATCTCATCACGGGACTCGGAAATTTTATGGCCGCTACAGTTATAATATAATTTTTTCTTCATGTGACCGAAGTGACACTGTGAGTCACTGATGTTGCTGACATACTCTACGGGCTTTAAAGGTTGGTTGGTTGGTTTGATGTTTAACTCACTCAGCAATATTCCAGCTATATGACGGCGGTCTGTAAATAATCGAGTCTGGACCAGACAATCCAGTGATTGATATCATGAGCATCAATCCACGCATTTGGGATCGATGACACCAACCAAGTCAGCGAACCTGACCACCCGATCCCGTTAGTCGCCTTTTACGACAAGCATAGTCACCTTTTACGGCAAGCATGGGTTGCTGAAGACCTATTCTACCCCGGAATCTTCACGGGTCGGGCCTTAAAGGAAACCCAAGAAAAATGGTACTGCATGCTTGTTCACTTAGTACAGCGAAGCACTCGACGGAAGAATTCAGTTCCCGCACAGCTGACGACCCGTTAGGTTCAATAAAGAACGAGAGTGATGACGGCAGTGGTAGCAAGATGTTGCGAAATAACCGACACAACATTGTAGGTTTAAACGGGAAACTATGTTTTCATTAAATGTTGGGGGCGGTCGGGTAGCCTAGCGTTCGCTCGTCACGCCGAAGACTCGGGTTCGATTCCCGACATCGGTACAATGTGTGAAGCCCATAAGCCCGTGATATTGCTGGAATATTGCTAAAAGCGGCGTAAAACCTCACTCACTCACCCATTTAAGGTTGGTCTGTTTTGGGCTGTTTTTAATTTTCAGTTGAGAGTCGTGCTGTTTCAACCGATTTGGGTTTGGAATTCTCTGTGTAATTAAGTTAACTTGTAGATTGATAAAATTAATAAAATTTCAGTGGACAAGCTAAGTGGTTTTTAAATGGCTTGCATGAAAAGCTGGGCTACCAGTTCACCAAGCCTGTCCCCTTTAAGTAAAGCAACTCAGCAAATCACTGCATTAATGCGGCATCCTGATGATCTAACATGTCGCCAGGGACTGTTCTTAATGCCACTACTCGAAGAAACGTTCAGTCTAAGAACATAACTATTTCTGTGTTGACAGTGCATCACAATAGGTACGTAACGTATGACTGTAACACGTCTAGGGCGTTGAGCCCGGAGCTGCCACACTCTGTCTCCAGGCTTAGCAGTGTAAACATGTCACGGTGACCTTAAGTTAAAAACTGTTAGTTTCAGAGTCACGGTCACTGAACACCGATCCTGTTTGTGAACATAATATTGACATACCGCGATAATGGAGAAAAATAACTAAGAAAGCCGAAGTGAAACTGTATAAATGTTTTGATTAGAACTAAGCGATACCACCAAGGAGTTGTCCAATGTAATGTTTGAATGCATTGCGAAACTGAATGGTCTTATAATGCCCCCCTCTCTTTAAGTGGACGGATGACAGGTTCGCCTATGATGTGAGTAGTGGAGGAGAGGTACGATTTTATCATCTTCCCTAGGCAAGAGAGTTAACTGACTATACAAGTCAAGTTTCCACCCTTGCCGAACTAGGCTGGTATTATGGAGCCTATGCATAGTCCAATCAAAATCGTGCTCCGAAGTCGAAATCCGGTTCGTAAACTGTCATGCAGATTGTGGTCGATTGCAGGATTTGCAAACCATGTGCACCGCTAACTCGTTGTCAACAGATATTTTCTGAATCTTTTCATGTTTTTGATCAAGGTGCTCACGTGATTTAATGCACTTCGCGATGTAAGACTCGTTTCATCACAATATATAGATCTTTATTATCGATCAGATCGTCTTGACTGGGCGCCACCGTTTTGTTTGAAGCAAATGCAAGTGATACGAGAGGTGGAATCTGATTGGTCCATAGGAGAGGCATAGAAGGGACATAACTCGTAATAGCCACGATGGCGCTACGATCGAGCCCAGCATAGTTCCAGCCTAGTTCGGCAAGGGTGGAAACTGGACTTTTATAGCCAGTTAACTCTCTTGCCTCGGGAAGATGCGATTTTATATGTTTGGTGTGTGACTTATTTGTGCGTCTATATTAATATACATATGTGTGTGGTGTCCTTTGGCCACAACGTGGCAAGATTGTAATACATTATCTTTATAATTATTATTATTGAGCTAGGTGTCTCATAGGCCCTCTGGTCGGATATTTTAACAATGAATATTTTAATGAACTATATATACGTGACATGTACAATATGTGACACCAAAGTAATATAATTTTCTTCTTCTTCTTCTTCTTCTTCTAATGGTTGGGTGAGTGAGGTGGGTTAAA